GTATTTCTTCTGTGTGGGAGTGAAATGAAGTGATTATATAGACTGTATCAGGCAGTATAATATATACCCCATTCATGCAAAAAATAAAAAGGAGACTCTTTATTTGAAAAGTGAATATTGTACACCCTTGAATCAACTTGCAAAATGACTTCGATCACATTTTGATTCATGCCAACTTGTCTCACTTTGTGTTTGTGTATGTGTGTGTGTGGGGGGGGGGGGAGTGAGACATGGGGTGATAACTCGGAAGGGGGGGTAAGAGAACACAAGTCAAGATTGTAGAAAAGAACAGTTTCGATTTAACGACAGAGTGGAATACACAGTAACATTCGAGTTGTTTGAGGTGGGAACGTGTCCTCGGATACATATGGTGGCCCTATAGGATATTTCGACTTGTTGACTTTTCGAGTTTTCGACTTTTTTACTTTTCGGGGCTTCTTAAATAATATGCAAAAACAAAGCTTAGACCATACAAGAATTTTGTAACAGACTACTAATCAGAGAGTAGGGGAGGGTCTCGGAGGCCCAGTATCAATAGAAACCCCACTATGATATGGTATGTGCATTTTTTTATATTTGTAATTCACTGACGGATACAGCAATTTAAAATACAGGTTTTCGGTGCCTTACAGTAGAGCTATTACGTATTCTACGCCGGTATTCACTTTAATGAAGAACAATTAACATCGTTGAATTCGGCATTACCATCGTGGCATGTAGACGCATTACAACTCCATACACATTAGGAGTTACATGAGGTGTGACGAAAACCTATTATTAGCTGTCTCTTGGATATCGCCTTTTGATGCGCTTTTACGGATGCCACTTCTCTAACTAAAGAGAATTCCAGTAAGTGTTTGAAGTCAGATAGGAAGGTGATGGGGTAGATGCTTGCACACAGGGGTGAGGCGAGGTGAGGCATGGGGCCCTAGAAAATAGGGGCGAAAATAATTGCCAACGGGTGGCTGATGTGGCGACCATGACAAAGTAGCTCTTCTTATACCTCCATCTAATTGCACTGATCGTATGCTCTTTCTCAAAGGGACAACTCTGACTTTTGATCTGGCTTTAATAAGAAAATTGATGTTATATGTTCCACTATTTTAAGAACGATTGCACTCTAACCTTATTGCATTAAATCAATGTCGCTAAGCGCCTCTGTCATGTGTCAAATACAGCCCTCAGACATGCGAAATGTCACTTAAAGCCCTCCCTGACCCAGCGTCCACCCCTTGACCGGGCAGTTGTTAACAGGTCCCTTCTTCTCTTGACCATTTTATATAAATAACTGGACTTACACAACCACACTTAAGGCATGCGGGCAGATATCTGTGGGACTGAAATAGAATGAATAAATAATATCCGACAGGCGCCGTGGTCATCTTCCTTTTTTTTTTTTTTTTTTTTTTGTTTGTTTGGTAATTCATTGCTCGCAATAATTTTTGGGAAGCATGTTTGTTACTGTACAGAAAATCAACAAAAATGTGATGTGAAAAATCTCGTCAAGGTCTTTTGAATAAATAAGTAGCAATGTTGACATAAATGATATATGGCAAATTGTCAGAAATATCAGTTTCACCCATTAAAACCTTCAACAAAGAAAGGGATAAACGTAAAAACGTGTTTGGCCATGTGGTCTGCCGCCGAATCCTTGACCTTTCTCCTTAAAGATTCAAAACTTTATACAAGTGTCGTTTCAGTAACATATAGGACTATGTGCGTGCCACGTGGAGAATAACCAGATATATCAGTTTCAGTATTATTGCAAAACAACAATGTTAAACAAGAAGACACGTCTTAGCTCGCGCAGACTGTAACAGATATCGTGACACTTATAAAAAAGTTGCGTTTGTCATCAGTATGCAGCCGGTGACAATGAACAACATTCCGTAAACTAACCCGCCCATATAATTTAAGAATTTCAGCGTCTCTCTCTCTCTCTCTTTCTCTTAACGAAGTTCTAGTTCTTTCAATCCTGGCAGCTAGCGTGTCCTGTTCGTTTATGGTACACATGTACTACATGTACATATCTGGTATATATCTGGTACATATCTGGTATATATCTGGTATATATCTAGTACATATCTGGTATATATATCTGGTGTAGGCCCTATATGGTATACATTTGGTACATATCTGGTATATATCTGGAACATATCTGGTATATATCTGGTATATATGGTATACATTTGGTACATATCTGGTGTATATGGTATATATCTGGTATATATCTGGAACATATCTGGTATATATCTGGTATATATGGTATACATTTGGTACATATCTGGTATATATCTGGTATATCTGGTATATCTGGTATATATCTGGTGTATATGGTATACATTTGGTGTATATCTGGTATATATCTAGTATATATCTGGTATATATCTCGTACATATCTGGTTTTTATCTGGTGTATATGGTATACATTTGGTACATATCTGGTATATATCTGGTGTATATGGTATACATTTGTTATATATCTGGTATATATCTAGTATATATCTGGTATATATCTCGTACATATCTGGTTTTTATCTGGTGTATATGGTATACATTTGGTACATATCTGGTATATATCTGGTACATATCTGGTATATATCTGGTACATATCTGGTATATATCTGGTGTATCTGGTATATATCTGGTACATATCTGGTATATATCTGGTATATATCTGGCACATATCTGGTATATATCTGGTGTATATCTGGTATATATCTGGTACATATCTGGTATATATCTGGTATATATCTGGTACATATCTGGTGTATATCTGGTGTACATCTGGTGTATATGGTATACATTTGGTGTATATCTGGTATATATCTGGTACATATCTGGTACATATCTGGTGTATATGGTATACATTTGGTATATATATCTGGTACATATCTGGTACATATCTGGTATATATCTGGTACATATCTGGTGTGTATATGGTATATATCTGGTACATATCTGGTGTATATGGTATATATCTGGTACATATCTGGCACACATCAGCAATATGTAACGTGCTTGAAATCTTGTTGTTTTATCATACATTGCATCTTTTGAAAAAAGAGACAACACTAAACCCCTCGCTGTCATTTGTCACAGTTCTCTTGGTCAAGAACGCGCCGTGTCACATTCTGGATAAGATCTACTCGTGTCTGTAAGATAGGCATTGTGGTTCTTATAAGTGAGATATTGACTAACTGCCAAGCTGTGGCCTATACCTTACAGTTTTTACGTACTGAAGCAAATACTGCATGTATAGGTATAGAGTCGTCTGTGTAAGTAGTGAAATGATGACTAAGATAGACGACTAAGACAGTCCACTGCATAAACTTTCAAATCGTCAATGCTTTTCAAAAATGCTTCGCTAAAGTTTAAAATGTAATCTGTACTGCACGAGTTAATGCTTTATTTAATCCGTTTAGTCCACAACAAGTAATCGCCAACCACACATAACGTTCAGGATGATCTTCAAAATAATTCATTTAATAAACCGAGCACTTCAACACTTATTTAACCAACCCTCGTGACATATTTGTGTTTGGATGACACCCTCCCCAACCACGGATACTATCTGGCATGGTTCAGACTGTTCAAAATGGAGAACACTGAAAGTTGGTCCTGAATACCACGGATACTATCTGGCATGGTTCAACCGTGTTCAAAATGGAGAACACTGAAACTTTGTCCGGCAATGGTAAAAATGTTTGAATTGTGTAATAAGCTAAATCCGTCGGAAATTGGAAGTTATAGATGATAGCAAGCATTGTTACAGAATATCATATGAAATTGCAAAATGTCCTCTGCTTGTCTAAATGCTACTGCAGCTTTGCAAAGGGCAAGTTACTTACACGATATACTTCTAGCTATTAAATTAAAGCCCATATCGATCAGATAGATAGGTTGTATAATATAATCCCATTACCAATTGAAATCTCGCCCTGAAAATGACATTATAGGTACACTATCCGCGTTTGAAAATGCCACAGAGCCATATTTTCTGTTTACTTATCCCGTAATACTACTCACCTTTCCTAATTCAGACTTTCAAACTATATAACCCCTCAAACAAAGAACGGCGCGTCAATATTTCCCTATGAAATGTATAGAAAGTCATGTCCGTCCGGAATACTGGTACCTCATCTAGAACTTATTTAATTGATTAGAAATAGTATAAAACATCGAATCCTAGTGCAGGAACGGCTCGAGCAATAATTTGTGAATAGGTGAAATTCGCTTTCTTTTTTCGAGGAAAATTCGATCTTCCCAGAATATATCAGACAGATTACCTATAAGCACATGGGCATGGCGCGTACGAAGACAAATGCGGTTGGGCAATGTAAAGAAATTGTAAATTTTTGACAGGTAATATTTATTGCATGGAATTACGGGCTTCGTGTTCTTTTACCTCCAAACCTACAGTATAACTGTAGTATACACAAACCTCGTACAACACAGGCTTTAAAAAGTATTCTTTACAAAGTTTGAGTTGTAAATAATTGGTATGAGTCATAGTGTCTGGTTTCAAGGTTCCAGTACCTTTGATCCCGATCTTTGACGTGGCAAAGAGGATAGGATCGAAGGTAAATAATATAAAGTAAACGACAAAGGTTAAACCACATAGACCCTATACATATGAATAGCATTAGGTTTCTATTCCGATTATGGTACTTGACGATGTTTTCACCTTACCTTATTATTTTTCACGTATCATTTCATCGGGTAAACTTACCTATGATATGCACTAAGCAAATAAAAAGTTAGTGCATGATACCTATTCATAAATCGCTCTTTAACAGTACGTCTTTTAAAAGAAAGGGGCGAACATTGCACTGCAGCTGGCGTAGGCAAATCATTATACATTTAACAAAGAAAGCAAAATATTATAATTTTGATATTGATATTAAAAAACCAAAAAGTATTTTTAATGCTGTACCTTTGTTTAATTGTACCCAAAATAATAATTAAAGATAATGAACACACCTCTTTGGTCATTTCAGGTTGGTTCGAAATAGTGCCAGAGGAAGGAACGCCCGTAGAAATCTACGACACGGTGGAACAGATAGCTGCCGTCAGCCCCAAGCGTTTCCTGGTTCGGAGTGCCACGCCCGCTTTTACTCTTCACCAGGACTTAAATCACCGAGTGTGGGTGCGCGGCATGATTCCAGCCGGGGAGGTGATGACAGTGTACAACATCCACACCATCGAGAGGAACCAGTCCAAGGAGAAACGAAATAAAGGGAAATGTTGCTTAAAGTTGGCAAGATTTGTCAGACGAATGAAGAAAAATAATTCAAAATCATCCTCCCTAGAGCCTGATAAAGTGGATAAATATCTTCAGTGCATGGATGCTAGCGGGAAGGAGTATACAATTGCGTTTGGTCAAAGTGGGCTTTTCAGTCCCATTGGAGAACCTCACATCAAATCTACGGACTGTGTTTACCAACTCTCCTCCATTGTACGACATATGGAGTTACCCCTTACTCTTCATTTAGTTTACGGAGAACCGCCGATCACCCCGTGTTCCTTCAGTCGATATCTACGGCTGGAGGAGATTTATAATGACGAAACTATTATCGCTTGTACTATGAACAACGAGCATAATGTCATGTTGGAAGTTTCTGTCGATTCCAGAGTAAAATTCGTAGGAGCCACAAACTACCAGGCATACAAGGAATTTCCCATATATAGAGAAATACTTCGTCAGTGTGATGAGAAAATTGACACTTTTGCTTCATCCATCAATGTTACACAAACTGCTTACACACCCAAAAATCCGTCGACAAATAAAACGCGACGAGAACCAACGTTGTCTGTAGAGGCAGACGTAGAGAGAGGGCAATTCGAACACGAAACGAATGAACAAAGCAATGGCTCCGAGCGCAGTTCAGCTTGCAGCACGCCTACACCTGAGAGTCGTGACACCGGCCCGGCCTCGTGTGGAAGCTCCTCAGACGGCCTCGAGGAGAACAGTGGTGAAAGTCAAGCAGAGGAGCATGGATTAGTACGGGCTGTACCCGTGTTTATACAAGACCATGATGAAGAATCAGCAGACGCCCAACCCATTGCAACCAAACCCAACGCCACCCAACCAGCTTCTTTAAATGGAGGCAATGACATAGACAGTGAAGACACCATGAAAGAAGAAAGTAGTTTGGATGAGTCAGATGATAATACAATTATATTTGATATGTCACATAATCAAAATCCATCCTCTGTTGGGAAAACGGACACGGTACCCGAACTTCCCAAGCGCCATTTTGACGATAGACCGAAATTAGGCGCAATTGGTCGTCACAACTCGGCCCCAGTTTTTACAAGCAATAGCGATTTAAAGATTGCAGATATACAAAAACGGCCTTTACCAAACCCTATCGAAGAGGCCAAACAAAACAAACATCCGCAAGGATCCGAAGATTCATCCGGTGGCTCAGGGGGGTCAGGATCTGGTTCATATAGGTCACGTGGTTCAAAGACTGGAAGCAACCACGAATCGGACTATGATCCAGATTACGATGAAATTCCAGGATCCGTTAAAATTGAAGATGATGAGGGTTACCTGATGCCCCATAGCAAACGATCCCAGAGAAAGAGTCACAAAACACAGAGAAACTCCAGCAGACTTGGTCGAACCCGTGAGGACCAAGTATTGCGCGAGATAGACGAGATGTTCAACTTGGATGAGCTGTCTGATGGCAGCAGCAGCGCCGCCGAGGGACGGTCTCCTCGGTTTGCCGACCAAGTTGGTCACCACAGTTGCTCTCGTTGCCAACACCATTCCTATGACTACGATCTACGGTATGGTCAGATGAGCCGCACCCCCAACCCGTACCAAAGGGGAGGGCGACAGTGTCCGTACGACCACGAATACCGCTGGGAGAACTACGCTGCCGACATGCCGTGGTTTGATCCACGTTTCCAAAACGACCGAGTCATGGGAGGAACTATGAGGGTGAAAAAACAGAACAGGTCACGTGAGATGTTAGCGGACAGGCAGTTTCAGTTGAACCCCAATGCTACGGTGCGCAAGCATAATTTTAAACGTATAGCTCTAGCAGAGGCGCCTTGGAACGAAATTCGGGAAGATTTGCACCGTAGCCGTGACCAGCTCCATATGCTTTTTGCTAAAGGCGTTAAACCCCAGCAAATGGCACATCATATAGAATCGGATGATTCACAAGAACCTGTCTATGATGACATTTTGAGTGGAAGTGATCGAGACAAGCCTGGTCGGCTGAGGAAACCAAAAGGATATAACCGTAGTCAGAGTTGGGATGTTTTCAGTAAGATGGCCCCGGAGATGTCGCCTGGTCAGCGGCGGCAAAGGAAGAGTAGTTTGCCTTCTTCGCGACACCTTTCGTTTCGTTCAGATTCGGGAATCTCCGTCGGAGGTTACCCGGATGTACCCCTGACATACGCTACCAATTTTGATGACGATGTCCTAAATAGGTCGTGTCCTGGGGGTCTACCCAACGATGACGATTTTGTCCCCCCTCGTAACCTGGCGCCCCTCTCAGTGCAAGATGTCTGCAGGTCTCTGCGCTACATCGGCATGAAGCCCCCGGTCATCCAGGACTTTCTGGACCAGTCCATTGACGGTAAGATGCTGATTGACTTGGACGAAGATGACCTGAATGAAGGGTTTCCACATCTCAATGCCCTTGAAAGGAAAAAGATCGTGAAGTTTATTAGAGGATGGAGACCGGTGAAAGATTAAGAATACTTCATATCCTCTCTAGTCTACAATAGTTGTTGTGATTGGAGAAAAATTGCCAATATAACAATTATGCGAATATTATTGCATTACAACGTTTGGTGATTAATTGCCAGTGTTTCGAGCTACGAACCATTTCGAAGCATCCCATCGTTTATCGCTAGCGTTTAGCAAGAACTGTCGGTTTTTACGTATTTCTGCACAGCTTCTGCAAGGTGTAATTTCACCTTATTGGAGCACGTTTGTTTAAGAAGGTGCAACATCAGTCTTCGAGTGACTGCATGCGCATTTTTACATGAGAACATTTACAGTTTAAACAAGTTTTGCTGTGTTGTTTCAGTAGCCTAATGAGGCTTTGATTCGATTGGGAGAAATCTTGGATACATTAAAGTGACTCAAAATTAAAAAACAAAATCAAAAATTTATGCTGTAAACCACATGTTGTATACACTCGATCCAAAGGTGAAAGATATCCCATAATTTATTTAGCGATGTAAAATATACTCATAAAAGGAGCCTCTAACAATGTCACGTTTATATTAGTCCTGCACGTAAACTGGTTTAATAATTGTTACATTTGTTTTATTGTTATGCTTTATTTTCACATAAGCTGGTTAAATTTGTGTTGTAATATTAGAATGGAGCTGTAAAAAGTAATCTGTTACAATAAAAGTTCATTATGATATTTGTGCCACAACAATAAAGTGGATATACGAACAAATATATTAGAGATATATGTGCCTTGTCACATCAAGCGAATTATAAAACATTATGAAGTTGAGTAAAAACAAAGGCTCGCTGTCAGAGAGACATGCAATGTGTCCATTTATGTAAAGTGTTCAATGGCATGAGGTCATACAATACGAGTAATTGTGAAATGAAAATCCGATGGAGATAAAAGATGAAGTTGGCAAAATTATGGTGACTCGTATTTCATTACAATATTAAGGGGTTGACAACCTCAGCGTAGTAAGGTAACTGGAGAGTTGATAGTTCGCAAGTCAATTTACGTCATACAAATGGGCATTACTTAAAACGCCGAATTATGTTAGTCAAATGAGCCAGCTGACGCAGGCTCCCACGACGGGGTTTCACGTCTCTCTCGTGCATCGTACTTATGGTGTCAGACATTTTATCAACCGGAAATCTCGCATTGTCATCTGCGTTGTTCTCATGAAACTGCACTTTCACAGAATACTTTAGATGTTTTTGTACATGTAACGCATGATGGATAAAACATAGAGTTTTGGAGTGAAATCAGGCGACGTCGCCCATTGGAGTTTGTACATATTCCATAGATCTGCTTGTTGATTCTGGTCGTAGGGAATGAAGTTGTTTATCACGTAAAGATAATTTCAAAAGTTAAAAAATCTTCCAGCTGGACTGAAAGTCAAGGTGGACGGGTTAAAAAAAGGTGACAATTTTTAAAATAGAAAAATACTGCTTTAAAGTGTGTCCCCTTGAGATTATTCTCATCTTACTGGGTGCATATAATGTTTACAGATTGAGCGATGAGAATGTTAACCCTAAGTTTCAGTTCCCATCGGAAAACTGTGCTCCTGGCTAGGTAAAGGGAGATGGCATACTATCACGCGATAACGGTTTAAAGAGTTATTTAGAGACCCCTTTTTATATAATTGATCTTAAGTCATATGTGTTACATTAATTGAGAAAAAGATAAATTTTGTTAACACAATTTTTGTTAAAACAAATTAATGAAAATAACAAAAAATCTACAGTTTATCAAACATAAACCGTATGCTTAAAAAAAAAAACAACACTGTGAATCCATTGCACTAACAAAAATATAAATAGATAACTAAATAAATAGATAAATAAATAAATGAATAAATAAATGATGAACTACGATTAAACTCCAATTTAAGTACCCGATGGCGATATTTCCTTCAACAATGCACAGGAAGGTAAGGGGGTCAATGAAGACTGACTAGTGAAAGACTGATCTAGAACTAAGTTATCTGATTGTACTGCTTTTAAAATTGGTTTTAAAACTTTGAGTCCAAGTGAGGGACAGGTCGAACAATGATCCTCGAGTAGGAGAAAATTGAATATTTCTGGGGGGAAATTCGTTTTGTCGGGAAATATCCGAACGCCTTGAACTTGGCTATAAGTATAGTGACTTGGGTCAATGTACAAACTGAATCACAGCGGTTTATTGGACGACTCAAGCTTTTTGTTTGGTGCACCTTTTAGCCAATGCAGTGTCATCCAGAAGCCGGAGACATTTGTGTTAGAAGTGGTTTCTGAGGCACGTGATTGCGACAGTGGAGACATGTGCAATGACACGGCATTTTTAATTATAAAGGAAAATTGGGGTGCTTATGGTTCAGAGAAAAATGTTTATCTAGAAAAATACAATATAAAAATTAACATAATTAATATACACATTAATAAGAATAAAAACAAAAAAACACGCGTTCAATTCTAGATTTAATAAACACTTGCAAAGGTCTAAAATAAGGTCTTTCAGTGGGTTTTTTGTAGAACTATTCAGATTTCAAAGGTTAAGTTCGTGATAAAGGAATTTACAAAATATACTGATTTTTATAATATGTGTAAAGCTAAGTGCAGATTGCCGTTTTATAACTTAGGTGTGGTCCCTAGTTTAGATCAGTGCATTGATAGGCCTACTGTGTTGTGAAGGCCCACATACCGTCAAAATAATTCTTGATACCGTATTTAGGCCCGATCTCTCCGGTTTATGTCTTTATTCTTATGAAATTATAAATATATTAAACATTACAAAAAGTTCAATTCAAGTTAAGGCTCCTTTGGATGCAAAGCAGTCATTGATAAATTCGACCTAAAGCCGGATTAAAGAGATGGATGTTGACATGTGTAGTCATGCTCAGCTCCCGCCAAAAAACCTAAATCACTGGAGCTTTGAAGTGTTTGATTGGCTGTCGATGACGCAAGTAGCCAATCAGAATCGCTCTTTCAATAGCACTTGGTGTTCAGCGCCGCCATATTTCCTCGTGCTGATAAAAGGCGCACCTGGTTTGGAGAAGAAAGTTCGGTAAATGTTGCGATCATTTGTTGTTTCACTTAAATGTAACTGCAAGCTGATAGATAATGTATATCATGTTAAAACTGTCTGAGTCAATAGTCGAAATAGTTTAAACTGCACTGCAGAAATGAACTTCTTTTTCCAATAATTTTGAGCATGATCGGCTGCATGTGCATGAGCATGCGTCTAGACGGCGAACATGTGCTGATAGAAAAGTGAGAGAGAACCATCTGTGCTGAACATGCTTGTTTTATAGTCGATTTCTTTTTTTACAAAGCTCACCGCAATGTCATGATGTATAGTGAAATGGTGTTGAAATAGAGTGTTCATTGTTGAAACTGATTGGAAATTTGAGACTTGTATTTGCCATTTTGGGTTCTCAGTGTCTTCATTTAGGTATTGAAGTCTCAGTGCCTGAGATCAACTAATGTCTAGATCCACGTTTACAGCCTTGCATGAAGAATTTATTGGACAATATATATATTTAGTTATAGAAATTTTGCATGATTATAATATTACAGAAAGTGGGAATCCAATAACAGACTTACATATATATATATATATATAGCGCTGTCATGATTAACATTTTAGGAGTCGTTCTGTTATGGATTAGGTATAATTCTTTCATGTTCTGTACTGTTAGTCACCACTGGTGAAAATGTGATATATAAATTCATTTCATAATTTGAAAACCGTTACTGAAAACCCAAGAACCAGAAGGTCACATTTTTCAAATCATGATTCAAATCTACTTAAGGAGCTGAAGGGTGTAGGGGGTCTTAATGGGGAGAAGTACCAGTGTGGAGAAGTACTGGGGGTGGGGGTATATAAAGAGATAAGATACAGAAAAGAAAATAACATGGCATGAAATAATTCCAACTGGACTCTTAACTTTCAAGCTTGGAAATAGTACATTCTTGATGCACCATTAATCCAAAGGAAAGATAACTACTATAACTAATCCCTAAGTTTTCACTTAAACTTTTTAAATCCTGTTTTTGAACTGGGCTAGAAACTTGGTCACTTGTATTGTATATGTTTGTGCAGTGGTGCATGGTGGAATAGATTTCTTGATGATATAATCTGGACTTGCTGTAAAGAGACGAAGCGGAATATTCAATTCAAATATCTAATTGTCTCTTTGGTAGATTGTATATTTTATAATGTGATCAAACTTTTTAAGTAAGTGCACTTCATAATTTTTAAGCACCGAAAGTAAAGCTGAGTGATATTAGGCTAGACAGGTGAATTAAAGATCACTAGTAACTTTTATTTTATGGTAGTTCTGATGAAGAGACGTCAGTTGTTTTTAAATGACTTTGTTATTGTTATAAATGATGGCTTACTTTGTCTTGCTTCTGTAACATAATGTAATGTTGCTAATGCATTTCTAATGAAATATAACTGTTGTATCAGGCAGTAATATTATTAGGGATTATCATATTATGTAATTAAATCATTCATGATTTCTCGATTAGCTAGTTTACAACAAACCGTTCAATTTTCTGCAATGCTCTGTTTCCACTTCTAACAGGACTTGAGGGAAAAAAACCTCAGCCCTATTGATTTGTGATCTAGCTGCAGGAGCATGAAGTGTCATATTTTGTTTGCTTTATTTCAGTTCTCAGTCGTCATTACATAAGAAGAAATGTCAGACCCAGAAAAGTAAGTACAGCTGGAAGTTATCTGATATGATAAAACAGACCCATAGCTAGCAATTGCAAAAGGAGGTACTTTTTCTGAAAATGAGGACATTTGTCATGAAACCTTAGTTTACATAGATCAAATATTCCCAGAGTGGATCTATTCCTATCCAAAAAGGGGGATGGTGAAGTCTCACCCACACATACCCACCCCCACCCCCACCCCTTAATCTATAGGCCTGTAAAATGTAAAGTGAAAATGGTAAAAAACTATAATTTGTTAAATAGGTAAGATCCAGTTCTTTTTGCTTGATGCCTTTTTGCACTGGAAGAGTGGACTTAGATAAAATGAGACCTATCTAGTAATGTCTGTAAAATATGCAGCTATATATATGTCACAGTCTGCTGCACACTAAATGCATGCTTTGTCTTTATTCTTTTAAGATTTATAAGTTGACTTAGTGTAGTTAGACCAGACTTAGTTGACTTAGAATCCACATTTGTAGTTAGACCAGACTTAGTTTTGGACTTTATTCTGCAGGCCACCTGTTGATGAAGGTGTGGAAGAAATTGCTGCTGATGAAGAGGATGCAGGACCAGATGATGAGAGTAAGTAGAGATACCAAACTTTGTATTCTAAACAATGAGAAAAGTGTTCAGCAGAGTTTTCTGTACACCACTGGAGTTCAGTATGCTCTGCAGTAACACACTGCACCAGGGACATTACAGTCTGGTTGATGGTCCATGCTTCTTGTGTTAACCATTGAAGTGATCTAAATGCTCAGAAAATGACTGCAAATGGCTAGAAATCATTGTTGTATTCATTTTTAGACCCCCCCCCCCCCCAAAAAAAAAAAAAAAAAAGGGGGGTATCTCCATTTCAGTCAAAGTGCCTCCCCCCACTTCACCTAGTATATTATAAGAATTATTAAAATGTCCATTGATGGAACTATTTCCAGATTAAATGACAGGAAGTAAACTAGGGAGTATTGAATGAATACTGTGAATATTTTATGATAGTGCTGTTGCTTGTTTGTCTTGTAGAATTTTGCCTTTTGTAAAAATGTATAGGTATATTATGCTTGGATTTTTTTCATTGATAGTGGAAAGTACATGTTTGGATTTATTTCTTGGAGGGGTGGGGTGGGGGGGGGGACGTGGAGGTCCATGTCTTCCTTACCATTTAAAATGATTTTCAACAGATCTTTTTATGAGTTAACTTCTTGAAAACCGAAAATATTTGAGCATTGTTAAAGGGATAACAACTGTTCTTAAGATATCCATTTTTCACAATAAATACATTGTAAATAACACATAGAAATATAATAAATTCTATTTTACCACCAAAACGGCAGTTAATACAATTATTCTGGAATCTGTGCTTGCCATCACATCACGTGACCTCCATAGATTACTACACTCTGTAATAATCTCTTTAGAGAAAAAATAAACAGGCATTAACTTTGAATGTGGGAATGGATTCATTAACCATTGGTAAGTGTGGGAAAATTGTCCTTTACCCCAGGACAATCCATTTTTTTGCCAAAATGAACAGTTGTTATCCCTTTAAAGAAAGGTTTCCTTCCTCTCCTAGTGGGAGCTCCACAGTTCACAGGGGACATGGCCGCCCAGTTTCTGCAGAATCCCGAATTTCTGGCTGCAATTCAAGGTCGTCTAGGTCAAATGATTGGCTCGCCCTCGGGGTATATTCAAAGGTAAGTTCTCTACTAATTGCTTCCTAAAAAGTTGCACTGTGTAATGTTGAATTATTTTTCAAAATCCAAATTTTATGCTGATTAACTGATTAAATTAATTAGCAAAATTTTACTTTGTATATGTTATGTTAGAGTGAATAGAATTATTCATTACTTATAGACTAAGTATTCTTAGTCAAACACGACGTCTTAGTTCACTGCTGAGGGCGATTTCACACTGAAGTCTTTATTTATTCCTTTACACCTGTACTGAAATTACACTTTTTTTACAGCTTACCAAAAGTTGTCAAGCGGCGGCTAAAGTCCTTGAAGAAGTTGCAGTTTGAGATGTTGCAGATAGAGTCTAAATTTTATGAAGAGGTCCATGAGTTAGAGTGCAAATATGCTGCACAATATGCTCCTCTGTCAGAGAGGGTAGGTAGTTATTTATTTTCATATTCTCTGTCATGGAGAATAGGTGGTTATTTATTTTCATGCAGGAAAATAATATGGAAAATCGAATAAAAATGAAATTATAACACTAGTTAGTATAAGAAGTGGAGGTGTTAAGTCCATCAAAATGAAATTTTGGTGAAGTCATCTTGTTATAAAAGAATTTGAATTTATAAATATGTTTGGCATTGGGTTGGCATTGTTAAAACATTTTTGGAAGTAAAGTTTAAAAGCTGTTTTGTGCTTTAGCAGAAGGGGTGGAGGAGTTAGGAAGGAAATTTGTCCCTAGGGATTTGGGGACAAGGTTGGATAGATGGTACTTTTTTATAAAAGAAAAATTTGTTGTTACCATGTGGTACCATTGCTGACATGATTTGTAATTGATGAAATGTTTATATATGTATATATTTTAGAGACGTGATATAGTAAGTGGCACTCTAGAACCTACAGACTCTGACTGCGACTGGCCAAGTGACGCTGAAGAAGATGATGAATTAGCTGTGAGTATGATCTGTAGATGGCGCTAGTGTGTGGAACATATCTGTGAATGACTTTGCGAAAGCACGTTTTTATAGGCTTGAGTTAAGAAAAGAAATCTTTGTGTGGCAAAACTGGAGATTGAATTAGCTGTTATGGAAAATCAATGTGATGTGTGTCAACTATAGCACTACACAGACTGGGACTGTTTTGGACCAAGAGTTGGTCTTAGGTGTGTCAGTGGACAGATGTTAAAAAGTGTAGTGGTATGTCTTTTGTATTGACAGATTCAAGACTGATTTTTAGTGTTAGTCTTAAAATGTTAAGTCTGTATAAGGCGGTATTATCATGCTTAAGGAAACAAAAGTGACGTGGCAAACTTTAAAGATTTAAAAGGAGTCCATTTTGTGTGAAGTTTGGGGATTTTCTGTTTCCAGACCAAGTCCAGTCCCAAGAAGAGAAGATTGGAGGAAGTAGGTTTTTCATTTCACTTTCCAGATTGTTTAATCTTCTTGGAGTCGAAAACACTCAGTCCGGTGTCCATTTTAGAACCGAGGCAGGAGTTTTGTTGTGTGTGAAGTGTTATCTTTTCATTTATTATAATTTGATTTGGAAATATTGCAGACTTGAGTGAGTAACTGATGCAGGTGAAATAAAGACTAAAACTCCACAATTTCAGTGTCAAAATGCTTGCCAGCAATCTGCTTGACTGGAATCAAAAACTGAAGCAATCTTGTAGAAATTATCACATGCTGTATTTTGGGTGATTTCTGCCTTTTTTGAAACATCTCAATTTTCTACTCTGACCCAAGAAGGTTAAACTGTCCAGATAGCACATTGTGATGTAGTATTACTTAGTCATCATTGCTGGCAAACATTCTGGAAATGTTTACTTATAGTTTTGTAAGCTGACCTAGAGAAAGGGTTACTCAGTTTGGTATTAGAATTGTATCATAAGAAATAAAAAACCAAATTGCTAATTCTAATACAACAGGACTGTTATGTTATTTAGTCTGAATATGTGTTTTTTACATCAAGTTCTAGTCTAAATTAGCCCTCATGTAAATGTATTTCCAAAGGTTGCTCTTGATGAGAATAGGCATTTTATCGTCAGACGAAATGTTGTTATGTAATTTATATGTTATTGGAAAAGGAAAAATAAGCCACAAGTTGGTATCTAGGTACAGGATAATGAGGCGGCTTTCACTTAGAATGATGGAATATGTCATCATTATCTGTCTTGTTTAATCCTCAGTGGATCAGTATTAGTGTCTGATTGAGGCTTATGTGCTGGAAATACTTTATATCTGAATATCTGCAGTAGACATAGGCTGCTTTCAGAACAGTGGACTAAATATTTCAATAGAATATTATATATGTATATATGTTATTTATATGTTACCCAGCTTTTCATTGATAAGACACAAATATGATCTGGCTTTATTTTATTTATTTGGAATAAGAATTAGAATGGTAGACTGTGGCCGCATTCTCAACGAATTGAGCCAGGCTTTACAAATCCTGAGAACTAAAAGTGGCGGACGTACATGAAAGAAAAACCGCCTAATCTTTTAATAGTCTCTCCGCCTCTCACACGCCTCCCCACACGTCGTCCCTGCGGGGTACAGTAATTAAATCTCGGCTCCGTTCGCCATGCGGAAGCTACCTGAGAAATATTAAGTGCGCATGCTCATCAGTTAAACTCGTGGTGAAGAAAGCATGGCGGCTGAAGGCAATCGAAGGCAAAAAAGCTCTTTTGTTCTATTATCTTTCAAAACAGAGATGAAAAAGGAATGAATTGGCCCGTAGAGCAGCAATGAATCAACTATCTACGGAGATAATATCACCAGAGATATTCACAGAGATATTCATGTTCGGAGCCGAGATTTAAATTTTTGGCATCTTAAGCTGTTTAATCTTAACTAAATGATGAAGGCTGTCACAGAAGACCAACCATTTATATTTTCTGATACCTTGGCACTTAGGAAGGTGTGCACTTCTCAACACAGCCAGGAGTTAGGCTGGACATTTTGAAGATTACCTTTTGAAGATTTTACTATAAATTTCTTTTTTCAGGATGAATTGAAACAAAAGGCAAAAATAGTAGAACTTACGCCAGAAGGAGAAGAGAAGACAGATGATGGAGAAAAGGAAGAAGGTATGTTTAATTGTACAACCTTCAAATAGGAACATTAAAACTTTAAGTGAGAATATTTTGCACAACTTGAGTGAGGGATACCTGTTCTAAAGTTCAGGAAAGGAATTGATTTTTTTTCACTGTCAGGAATTCGTTTTGATTAATTATTTTTTATATAAACATAAGTATTCCGTCGACCTATCATCTGCCCCAGCATTGAATCTCATTTTAGTTTTTTTTTTAATGTGATTTATTTTTTGCCATTTTGTTCCAGAGAACCCTAGTGGAATTCCAGGATTCTGGTTGACCATATTTAAGAACGTTGACATGCTCTCAGACATGGTGCAGGTTTGTAGGATAGTTCTATTAGTCAGATAAGAAATAAGTCAGATAAAAAAAATCATTGCTCAACAAAAATAGAATCATTTGGTTACATAATGAAGAAATTACATTGAGCAACCAAAACTTAGTTTGTTTTTTTTTAGGTGAAATGCATATTTCAAAGCTGCCTTTCTGTTGGACTCTTCATTTTGTCTGTTTAAAATATTTTTCATGGTACAAATTTTTACTTTTACTTCACCAAATTAAATATGCTGCAGAACTTCAGTAAAATATTGGAGTAGTTACAATGTGTAGTTAAATTTTTGATAAGTCAAAAAAGACTATGTTGAGTGTTTATTTTGCAATTTTTTTGACGAATCTCTCGTGTCTGGGAATTTCAGGAGCATGATGAAGCCATTTTGCAACATTTAAATGATATTAAAGTCAAATTTACACCAATGGACTCTGGACCTATGGTAAGACCTATGATAGTTGTAACAGTATGTAAATTTCATCATTGATTAAGGAATTGGTGGTTACAAATTAAAGGTTACATCCCAGCTGCTTACATATTGCTTTCAAAGTTTTAGGTCGTATTATTTAAAGAGTACACCTCTTCCTTACATTGTAATAAATAGCGTACAATACCATGTTTTGTTACCTTCTTTTGTATTTGACAAATTTAAAGTCATTGTGTAATAAGTATGCATTGGTCAACACTGATATCTGGATTTCTTTTTTTCCAGGGTTTTACACTAGAATTTCACTTTGAACCCAATGAGTTCTTTAACAATTCTGTCCTAACAAAGCACTACATAATGCGATCAGAACCTAACAGAGAGGATCTGTCTTCTTTTGAGGGCCCAGAAATTATCAAGTGCACAGGGTAAGGTGATGTTAGACTGCTTTGTTTAGGCAATATTCTTTATTTCTTGGCCTAAAACATAAAATTTTCAATGTAGGAAGGATATTCCTATCTTGTGGAAGAAAATATTTCAATTTGTGATTACTGCAATTCAAATATTTTGTTTGGTTGTTAAAAATGTCTTCTAAATAAATAAAAAAAAACAAGAACAAGAATAGATGAAAATATTTACTCCCAACTTTTCATTGTTTGCTGCAGCTGTACAATTGATTGGAAGAAAGGCAAGAATGTGACAATCAAGCAGATTAAGAAGAAACAAAAGCACAAAGGGCGGGGCACCACACGGATGGTCACCAAGACAGTCCAGAATGATTCCTTTTTTAATTTCTTCAACCCTCCACAGGTTCCTGAAGGAGATGGGGAGGAGGAGGAAGGAGTAGGTGGACTTTTAGTGGTGGATTTAGGGGGGTTTGGGGGGCTGACCCCCCCTTCAGTTTCTGAAAAATATATCACACCAATATTCCCCTCTTGAAATTAGAATTTTGACTAGCTAATCATAGTTCTAAACTGTACCAAAGGGCACTGTTTGCTCTCCAAAACACCAAAAACTTTTCCGAGGCCTGTTGTTCCGGACCCCCCTTCAAATAATCCTGGATCTGCCCTTGACTTTGGTTTGTCTTTGGGTAGATAAAATGATTAGTATGATATTTTATATTTTATTGGTGTTAGTTGGTTTATTATTTTGTATTAGATCATAGCCCCAGGACTGCATATGATAATGTGACAGTTTTTGTGGCAAGGACACTGACATTTGTGTCAAAGAATGTGAACAGATCTGGACTAGCAGCAGCATCAAATGGTGTTTGTTTTCTACAATTCAGGATGAAGACACAGAAGCTCTCCTGGCTGCTGATTTTGAAATTGGCCACTTTATCCGTGAGCGTGTGGTCCCGAGGGCAGTCCTTTATTTTACTGGAGAGGCCTTGGAAGAAGACGAGGTACGTGGAGGACGTGATGTGGAATAAAGTTCTTGTTTTTTACATGGAACTATACAACCTGCAGCTTATGTCATGTTTAATTTACAATGAAGTGAATTTATCTGTACTGGGATATCAATTTGGTGCAAAGAGGAACAATAGTTCTTGTAGAGATATCAGTGTTTTGTTTTTGTTTTTCAGTTTGAAGATGAGGGGGAAGAAGAGGTAAGGAGCATAATTTAATATTTTCAGATGTTGCATATTGAAATAATAATAATAATAATAATAAGTAAAAAAATAAAGGAACTACAATGTACTTTTAATCAGGATATATTCAATTCATTTCTAGACTTGTACATACATTGTGTTACAATTGTGCACAATTTCAATTTCAAAAGCTAACAAAAGTACATTGTAGGTAAAGGAAAAAATGTTTTCATGATAATATTGATATTTAATAGATAAAATACTACAGTGCTTACGTATATGTTTTCACATATTTAGTGTTATGGAAGTTGTGAGAATTATAAAGAATATCTTTTCTGTTGGCTTTGCTGTGTCTTACCTATTTTTCTATTGGCTCTTCTGTGTTCTTACCTAGTTTTTTATTTGCTGTGCTGTTCTGTTACCTAGTTTTCTATTGGCTGTGTTGTGTTCTTACTTAATTGGCTGTTGTTTGTTTCAGGGAGAAGCAGAGGAAGGAGAGGAGGATGAAGATGCAGATCCAGATTATCAACCACCAGTAAGTGACATGTTCTCTTTAACACTTTAATGTGATGCATATCTTGATCTCAGCATCCTAGGTTTCTGTTTACAGCAAATTCTGCTAAATCCATTTGAAAATGTTTAAATTTCAAAATGCAGTGTAATCTTTATTTGTGTGTTTTTTTCTATTTTACATTTTAATTTAAAGACAATACTTAAATCCAGTTACCACTGCTTAGAATGCAGGTAACATGGGTAATTTCTCCGTAAAAGATCAGTTTTTGTATACTGTTCAGTTTAGAAACTTGATGGAACTACTTGTTCTGGTGTAGGTGTACAGTGACAGTAAAATATCCGTCACTTGTTGTCTGTATTGTCATTGATGATGATTTCATAGTTTATACATAGTTTGTATAAGGCTGAAGTGATATATTCAGAGTAACTGTCATCTGCCCTGTTTTTACAGCAGGAGAAGTCTTAGTGAGGACAGAGGTAATTCCATCAACTTTCTGCATTGTGGATCCTGCACCCAAGTTATGTTAATTGAAGGAATAACTTGGAATGGATATGTTCAAATTGCATCATTTCCAGTCCTAAGTTAGCCCTGCTGTGAATGCAGCTTATGTAGTTCAGAGTTCCTGTACCCCTTATCCAGGAGAGTTCTTTGTACTGAATGCTGTAAAGCATTTTATATCTTTAGGGAAAATTACACATTTGAAGTCCGTCCTTTCCCTGTTTTCTAGTGGTGTAGACAGTGGTGATTTTGAGTTGTATACTTGGAATTATGTACACTGCCGATCCATTGACTGGACTTACCTTTATGTCCACGTCAAGGTCTGTTCAAAATTATTGATGTGAATATTATCTATAACTCAACATTGAATCTGAAGATGAATTAGCAACAAGCAGATTTCTTTTATTGATTAAATAATTAGTTTTAATTTATTTACAATTTGCCGAGTCCAGGAGCTCTGAATCTAATGGGTGTTCTTTGTTGTTATTCCTATGGATCTAAATGTTGTTCTCTGGTGTCTGGGAAATGGCTTCCTGGTGCAGGGACTGGACTGGTTCTAGCATGAACACTTGCTTAGACCTAATTGGGGGGGTCTTCTTCTTTCCCCCTGTACCCCTACCCCCCATCTTCAAATGTGCATGCTTTTTGTGAAAGGGCTGAGGCATGGGCCTTTGTATTTTAAATAAACCTACTGTCTACAGCTTTTTAGAAAAAGTTGATGTAAAAGTTAACAACAGAAGTGCCAGAGTTTGCATCTTGGCCAGTTGTATTCTGTAATGTTTGGCTACCCCTTGTTTGAAATTATGGTGCTTGCACTGGGATTTTGTTTTTAGTGAAAATGCTCTGCTTCTTGAATGAGAAATAAAAAATTAATTCTCAGTGCACTGAACCTTTGCATGATTCACTTAGGGTTGTAATCAGTCTTCTGTTTCCTGTACAAATACACAGAACATACATCTGGGTGTATTTATGATGTGAACCTTTTGTATCCTCAAAGGTGGTTTGTTTTGCCCTTTAACCATTAATGTTAATGCTTTTGTTATGTAATTTTTATTGCCTTGAAAATTGTGATCAAACTGTGTTTGTTACATGGAAGTTTTCACATTTTTCACAGGACAGTTGAAATTTGTTTTTGAGGACGTAAACTGAAAATTTCTAATTATTGAATCATCAGAGAGCAACAAGTCTAGGGAAATGTCCAGACTAGGGACTTTCTGGACCATATATCTGATAACATCTGTCATCTGTTCCACAATAGTGACTGATCTAGATGGAGGCTAGTACTACTGGGTTTTCTGATCTACACAAGTCCTCTAACACATACGTCAAACATGTTGAAATTATTTTCAAACATGATCCTTGTACATGCACTAGTGAATAGTGTATTATGTGTTGAAGATGTTTAATGAGAGAGCTGATGCTGATATTTCTGTTTCAGGCTGACCCTAGCAAGCCCCCAGAGTGTAAACAGCAGTAGATGTTATGTCAGGAAGGAGAGACAAAAGAAGGAAATATACCACACAAGTTCAAATTTGGACTTTTCTTACTGCAGGGGACGGCATTTTTTTATCTTTGAAAGAGAACAAAAGAGCACTTTATTGTTAAAATGCATGATATTTATTTTGCTAAAGGAAAAGAAAGAAGGCACTAAGCTAAGTTTCATATGTATTGAACAAACAGTAGCAAGAGATCAGCTGTGGCCAGTGTGACCTGTCTCTCAGTTTCATCAACTGTAGGATGTACTTGTTGCTTTTCCAGCTGCGTGTCTTCAGAATCCATCTTTTAATGCCCCCATCTCTGGCCTACCCTTCTATGTTGGTGGATTGATGTCATTTTACAGTATATCAGCTTCAACAACAAAAACTATAGCAACATTGAGAGGGGATATTGGCATATTGCATTTCATGTTTAATGCTCCCTTATTACATTTTGATAGACTTGATGTAGGCTTAGATTAGGAAGGTCCACAACTTGGATGCCCCCCCCCTTCTCATGTATACTAGCATTTGAAACATGCTTAATAAAAAGAACCCTTCAGTTTTTGGTGACAATATAAATCTCTATAATGTTTGTCAACAGTAATGCTGGTGAAAAATACGTAATGGATAAAATTAATTGAATTTAATGTTATATTACAGTAGCTGGAAATACTGGAACTTTTCCTCACTGTGTCACAATTATTGGTCTTAGTATGAAATTGAGATGTTCAGTGTATTTATGAATTTTGCTTTAGTTTTATACGAGGTTGTAGAAACTACAATGCATTTGAAACCAGTGTTGCTGCAGATTTGCTCTTATCTTTCTCAAGTGTTCTGCAAGTAAACTTGTTGGCTTTGTTATAAGTGGGAGGAGATGTCTATTTTGTACAGAATGTTTTGTTTTTGTTACAGGCTTTCACATAAATGTCTCATCATTGCAGTGTTTCTGTCTGTTAGAAGCAAGAGCCAGTAGACTTCAGTATCCAAGCTTTTGAATGCCTCTAGTGTGTGAAAAAGCTTGGCTGTTATTCACTAAAAGGAAAATACATCTCATGACATTAAGCCCCTCTATTTTTTCACAAAAACAATAATTAGTAGTGTAAAATTGGATCTCTTGCTCCAGTAAATTTTAAGAATTATTTCCAACATTAGACCTCGAGAAATGTTGACCGTTGTATCTTCACCAGCACTTTGTTTGGCTGGGCAGAGGAAACGGGTCTTATTTTGCTGGAATAATAAATGTGAAAGTTCAGTTTTCTTTGTACAATCGTGTGTTGCATTAAATGTAGTCTATAAGGCGTCCCTTGATTTCGTTTTAAACCATTTCCACGAAATGTAATTTCTGCTTATAGAATTTGCTAAAAGACGTATAAATTAATAATTATTGAAGGACGTTGACCACACTAAGGGACCATTCAGATAGAGAAGAGCCGAGTGCTAGCAAGACTGTGACCTAAGTATGGTGGACTTACTTGAAAGGAAGACTGCTAATCCTGTAATGGTCTCTCCGCCTCTCGCACGCCTCCCCACGCATTGTCCCTCAACCGGTTGAATTGAGCCGAGATTTAATTAATGTGCCCCTGTAGGGACGACGCCACCATATTTAGGTCACAGACTTCTTAGCACTCTGCTCTTCTCAATCTGAATGGTCCCTAAATATGCCAAATTTTTGTAAGTCCTCAATAAACAGCATAACTGTCCTTCCGGAACAATGTATACCTTCTAACCAATAAGAAGGCCTATATTGCTGGTAATGAGGCTTATTTGGCGCAACTTCTGGACTGTGCTCTCTCCTGGCCTCCCTATGATTGTACTGGTCAAGGTAACGAGAGAGAGTAGGGGTCAATTTGACTGCTCCCATTGCCTGGCCAACATTGAAAGGAAGAAAATTCCAGTCTAAATCTTCAAATTGGAAGTAAAGGGACCTAAGAGCAATTCTTTTGGGACACTCGAGTTCATAATCTCCCAATATTCCACACTCACAAAATGGAATGGCATGCACGTCTAAATGTATTTTCCAGTTGGACTTATTAGATTAATATGTTTTATACAAAATGTGATGAAGCAGCCCCCTGGTACAATATAATACAAATACTGCTTTGTTACCAAAACCTTTTATTTCACAAAGATGAAAGATACACTTAAAATTCTATCTAAAAAGTTGTGCAATCATTATAATTATATAATCTCTATTTGCTGAATGAAATTGATAAGGAAAGCTTTTCAACTTTTCATGAAGAGGCACCTTGATATGCTATGAAGTCAATGTGATGTTGAAGTATTGCCAAATGTACCATTTACATATGCACTTCTAGTGCGGTTTATTTTACAAGCTTCATAAGCTTTCACAAGCAACAGTGAGGGGAAAAAGCAGCTACAATAAGACTTGCTTTAAGCAACACAAAACATGCATAATAACTACCTAGTTTTCTCTATTCCACCCCTTCTACCAGAAAAAAACGTCCTTCATACACACGAAAAAGCAGACAAGACATGGCGTAATATGAAAGAACTGGCATGATTAATATAAATATAAGTCCTCTATTCAGCTAAGCTATATGCACAAACATAAGTTCATAGCATAGCAACATCAGTCTTTATCCTATTAATATTGATAACATACATTATTTAGAGCTTGTAGCAAAATATGGCACTAAGAACTGCTGCATCTCAAGCACATTTTCAGGTTTCAGACAAGCTGCTAAAAACTGAGATCTTCAATTGCACACATTTCTTCACTATTACTCAATGAAACCTAGTTCTTAATAGGTCAAACTAATAACAATATTGTATCTTCAGTGTGAAGGAAAAAAGTAGCTAAAAGAAACTGTTGAACCTTTGTATTTCAGTATTTTCTGTCCAAAATTAGTTCAGTAGATGCCATGTTATTGGAATGTTGAGTTGATAAAATTGCTCCATAAGACGGCAGATTGGGCATATTGATATGACAAGGGAGTGTGCAGGATGTACGTCTGTTGAAGGTTAAGAATTCTGTAGAACCTAACTGAAGCCAAGGAGTAAGTTATCCCATGTGACAAGCTTTAACATAGTGAACAACGAGGCTGTAGCAATAGTCTGAAGGTTCAACAGGCCGAAAGTTCATTGGTCTGAATTTTCGCTATGGAAATTAAAAAACAATTAAAATTTTACCATTTTTCGGACCTTTGGACCATCGAGACGCCCCCGTGAACAACTTTAGTCTCTACAATTTTTTACACTTGCTCCATGGAACCTTCTTAGTTTGTATTCAACTGCTTATCAGGAGGAATTGAAACATGAACAGTTTTATAGGTTTTCTTTATGATATGCATAAGATAAGCAACATTACCAAATAAAAATGCAACAAAAATAACAAATAAAGCTATTCTGATATTGAAGATTACACAATCAATATCTCTCTCTTTCTCATGCTCTCATGCATTTCTATACATATTTTTTTTTTCAGAATGGCGTAAAATATGAACACAAAAAGCTCTAAGACAAAGCAAGCTCACTGTGGGAATGTCTAAGGTCCTGCAGATGCCTTCCTTCCCTTTGTCAGAGGCAACATACATAATAAAATTAATAAATAAATAAAATTAAATAAAAGCCATACTGACACATACTGCATCTAGGTTAAGATAATGCTCCACTGCATGGAGCTACCCATCCCACTATCTATCTGCTATAATACAGGCAACGGCAGAGTTCAACAAAATTTAGTCTAGCTTTAAAATAAAAAAGCTCTCAAAACTATTAAGCAATTTGTTTGCTTAAGTTCTTGAGCAATTAACATCCAGTTCAGCAAAATATGAAGAAAAATATCTCCAAAAAAACCAATTGGACAACGACAACAACAATATCAATGTTAATAAAACTAATCTTGTAACAATTAACATCCAATTACCTGTACATATTTCATATGCAAAAAATTAGCACAGAGCTCCCTGTTTGTTTTCTGCTTGACCAGTGTACAAGGTTCTTTTGCTTTGACATTTTAGTGCTGACTATGACAAGTGCCCATTGTTAATTTATAAAACATTGGTTGGAGGTAGTTTTCCTTTGCTGCCAGCAAAACTACTGGCCTCTAATAGATACATGTGGAGATTCTATAATCAAGCCTACCATAACAGAAATAGTAAGTAGGATTCTTAAAGGTTTCAAATTTATCATTAACAAGCAAATGGTAACTATAAATTACTATGACCACAAAGGAAAAATATATTGTAAAGTGGATGCAGTATATCTCCATTATATCCAAATTCATAAGAGAAGTTTTGGAAGTGATATTTAAAAGCTGTAACACATGCCTTCTTTTCGTATCTTTATATGACAAAGTTCCCCGAAGTATTGGCAGGAGACGTGTTATGATCAGATCGAAAAGAAAAGAATTCTTCAATGCCACAGCCTGGCCTAAACTGCCATCTTCCTGGAGGGGAAACTGTATGAAGTTAGAACACACACTCTACAACATACAATCCTCGTCCTTAGAATTCCAATTTCTGCAGCTCACACCATCTGTTAATTAGCAACAACTAATTAAAATATTCTTATGTTCAAAGAAAATTGCCCTTTGCATATAGTGAAAATATTTCGTGTTATAGCTAGCCTAGATATGCCCATATATATTTGAACATTACCTTCCAAATGACTGGAATTTACTTTTTACTAATACCACAATATGGTTCATCATGACAGTCATTTTTCATCTATTAAAAAAAAATGTTGGGTTTGGCTGGAACTGAATTAATAAGCAAATCCTTGGCGTGATCACTATGCAAATGCTCTAATCTCTCTATGTTAGTATATATGTATATATATATATCTTCAATAACATGCATATACTGGAAATAATAAGACCTTGCTTTTTAGCCACGACAGAAGCACTAGGTGCAGAAATGATGATCAAATGTAATGTTAATGTATAATAGTATGAAAACAATAGCCTTTCAGTGTAATATCTATGTAGACCCTGAGAAGATTTGAGGTCTTTCAGTCTTACTACAGCTCCTGCTAAATTCCGATGCACTGAATGAACACAATGCATTATAAATTCAAATGCTGATTCCAGTGAATTAATTAGTGTATTAATTCTTAAGCAATGGCGGGAAAATTACAACATAAAAAAACTCCAACGACCTTTTCATTTGATTAGTCTTATTCAACTATTCCAAACACTTCACTCAGTTTTTCAGGTCATTTACTTGATGTTTGGCAATTCAGCACCACAATTCACAATTGTGAGCCGATGCGATCTTAATTCCTTTCCTCAAAACTAATAAGGTATAGATGTCTCTACCATGACATATTTTAGTGATATAATGGTTCTCAATTACATGCTTTATTTTGACAATAAAACAATGACCCTATACCTCTTTTCCTTATAGTTTAGTAATTAATGTACTAACTTAAAGAACTGAAATGTTGCCGGAGTTTTTGGAAGTCCAAAAGGTATTCCAGCTATGCAGCAAATATGGCACTGGGCTTTAGATCTGGAAGCATGGAATGTGACATGGTCTGAACTATGTCATCCCTCAATGTGGCCGTGCACAGTCTCACTATGGGATTGTATATACTGAAAACTGACAACTTGTGGCAGGCTTACAAGATGTTCAACATACCACTCAGTCCTAATTGCAGGTACTATTAGGGTGCAATTTCTACCTAGGTCAAATGGGTATGTTCATGACAAGTGACAAGCCTTGTGGATGCACCAGACCTGACAAATGGTTGTTCTTTAATCAGATTCAGTAGAACTGGAGGTGGTGTAGCATTAACTGAAATTCTGAGTTTTTTTTATATCGTATAAAACTAAGGGGAAATAATTTGGCAAAACGAGTTGCCAAAAAAACAATGAAATTCATACTGACTGACAGCTACTTGATACCATACAACAAGTTGTGCCATATATACATATAAAAACGTTTCATATAAAACATACAAGAGAGAACTATACAGGCAACAAACACTGCTATCAGGCCTAAGAATGTATCAGACTTCCACATACTGGTGAGATGGGATGATACCTAGGTGTAGCATAATGGTGACTGTAACAAAATACTGAGAACACAAACATCACAACAGATGTCTTGCTTCCTTTCCTGCTAAGCCAATCTGTCTTGGGTCACTGCAAACCTTACTGATACTCCCACAATGCCTCAGGTCACCATGAACTCCCTGATACTCCCATAATGCACCACAATTCCTTTCCTTGCTTCCAGACTTGCAGTTCTAAGTAGAGAAGAGAAGCTAGACTTCTCAGATCTTTTCTAGCATGAGAAGTTGTGTAATCTGACCTAATTTGGTGTGGATTGAAATAACAAAAGTTACAAAACACTAACCTGAGGAATAAATAGCAAATCTCCAAGAGCTTTGTGCTGACAATGAGAAAATAAGGCCATCAAGACATCAGTTTCGTAAGATTTTAAACATAAACATGTCATCAAGTTAAAATACAGCTTGACTAAATCAGTGTTAATTTTAAAGAATTTGACAATGAATAATATTAAGCAATAATAAAATAAATCAATTTTCATTATTACTATTATGTTTGACTGTTATTTCCCAGCCGATTCAGAAAGACTGATGATTCAAATTGAAGAAGCCTGTCAATGAAAAAATACATACAATCTCTAGATAAAATTCTGTGGCTATCAAAAGATATAATACACTAAGTGTAAACACTTTATGGTGAATTCTCTTAAAAAGCAACAATGTTCCAATGTTTCCACTCTTCCTCAAGGCTTACCTCTTGAAGTGAGGCAGAACACATAAGCTTTACATTGACATAGTTGCCCGTGAAGCTCTGCAAGACATTTTTTCTTCCCAAAAAAATTTGCCACTGGCTGCTAAGATAAGTGACCTTTGACATGAGGTATACTTTCTGACTTAACATTGAATGCCAAACCTGATATTGGTGTTCAACTTCTGAGAATCATGAAGGTATTTTAAAGTTTCTTCCCTTTCTACAACTTTATGACGATTTAAGTCCTCCAGTGATCAATTTGCAGTTCTGTTACGCATTCTTGACAGAGCACAAGGCCTTGAGTACAGACATCAATGCTGTCAGATAAACATTTACACATACAAATGTGCTTGTACATTGTACAATGATTCTTCTCTACAATCTAATTGTTTTATCTTATCAACCAAGACCTAAACATTATCTAGACTAAAAAAATGCCCTGAAGGAAGTTTCAAACTTCACTTACTATTATCTTGGATAAATGTGTGTATATAATATATAATATATGTATATATATAAAAATCTGCCAAAATATTATTCTGACAGAAGAAAAGAAAACATTAGGGTCACTTGGTGACATAAGATCCCAGCTGCAGAACAGCTAGCAAGGTGTTGGCAGTCTAGGAATGCTTTGTCAAAGCATAAGATCTGCATGGTAGACAGGTACTGGTTAACGTAACTTCTACCCCCCTCTCTCTCCAATAGACTTTCCCACTTTGTCTCTGCTATCAGTAAACTAGTTGGCTGTGAGCTAGGAGTGGTCCAAGTAGTCTGAAAGCTGCCTGACTATGGTTACAAGGAGCACCTGCTGTAACTGGAGGACCTGGCAGCAGAACTAGGAACCCTGGGAGTACAATCTACACTTCCACTCCCTCTAGATAGAACACATCCCCTCCTCTAAACACACACAATTATACTTCCTCATTTTTGATTATGTCAAAGATTTCAGAGAACAGAGGGGGCAGCTTCAGACTTGCCCAGTGCTGGCGGAACCACTGCACGTGTTCGTTATGGTACGAGCCCAGTGTGCGCAGTTCTGGCAGTTTCATCAACAAACATGAGAACAAGTTAATCTCCGCAGAGTGGTTACGACTGATCTGAAGTTTGAGGGCCTCTATCAGCCCATCCTGCATAGACTCCACTGCGTGGGGGTCTGAGAGACCAGGGCGATCTGGAATATTACAGACATTGGGGTAGATTTCATTCATTAGTCATTACAACAGCATCCTGCATGCATGGAATTAATCTTTTTTTTCATAATTTAAAATTACTGAGCCAATATATCTAGTTTTACACATCTATTTATCTTTCATTGGACATCTATCCAAACCAAGTTTTGAAACACAAAATATGTACATTTAAAAAAGAAAATGCTAATAATAAAAACATAACCATCTGAAGCTGATACTTCTACAGTGCTGCCCAGGGCCCTGTATCTCGAAAGCATTGCACATTTTGCCCGTGCGCAAGCGTCTCGATTCCATAACTCGCCCATACTCGTCCCATATAATACATTGTAGCCTCTATTTGATATAGCGATTCGCAATACGCGATGCTTTCGAGATACAGGGCCCAGCACTGGGCAAGTCATCCCATACAGTGTAGTACTTACCTGATGTGGCAATCACCATCCCTGTGAGCAGTCCTATCTCTGTGTCATTTAGATGGAGTTCATTCATACCATAAGCAAAGTCAAACATGGCCTTCACAAAATCAGACTGAAACAAACCAATACAGTCCTTGATATTCAAACTAAGATTGAAAGAGCAAATGCATTGGTTATAGAAGTTACCAACTCATCTTTCAGGTCAATATCAAATATACAACTTCTTAAGCTTAAGTTTTAAGGGTCCAAATTCTCAGTAATTGTCACAAAATGCATTAAAATATTCTGCCACTTTAACGTGATGGATTTTTGATAAATGAGCTATTTTAAGGCTTTAAAATCTCAATAATAGCCATGAAATGCATTTTATTTGTCAGTTATATTCTATGTGCTTGTAATAAGTGAGTTATTTTTTTTTCTCTGGTAACTAGTCCAATCCAGGCCCAAGTTTCACAAAAAACTTAAGTCAGCTCCCTGGCTTAGCTGACTAAGCTTTCCACGAGAGTACAGTAAAGCTCCCTTTACACTGGACGGCATCCTTTTACAGGTCCCATAGCACGAACCTGTTTGAGAGTGAAAAAAATAATACTTTACGTGCCGATGACTGGCCAATCATTGAACTCATTTGGCAACCAAAGCGATGCCTGTGCCTCCTTTCTATGGTAATTAAGTTGTTAACCAGCTGAACTCACTGAGTAGATGATCTCCAGGTGTTCCTTGGCCACCACACTTCCATCTCCAAATGTCAGTGTCTGCTCTGTCTTGTTGAACATCCTGGTAATCCTGGTCAACCAGACCTCAAAGAACCCCATCTTCATCAGAATTAACTGGTCATCCTGGACAATGTCTGCAAACCCTGGCAAAGTTGATAGATTTACACTAGCATTAATTGGTAATTAGCAACAGTCTTACAGCTGAGGTACTGAGAATACTGGTTGCAATATTTTGTACAAATTTGCCAAATTTAGGTCTTTCATAAGAACTGGTCTTTGATTGTTGTTATTTTTATTCTAAAGAAAAAAATACAAACATTCAAGGAAAACAAGCATATCATAGCAAAATACTTTACTTTCTGACTTTTTAACAAACTCAACAACTACATTTCTATGTCCTATTCTTGTAAAAACACACACAAACACACACAAAGAATGCACCAGGAACATTCATTATCTGCATAGCTGTAGAATAGCATCTACCTCAGAATTAGTTAGGTCTTATATTACTTTTAACTATATCCAGTTGAAGTCTTACCTGGTAACCGTTTCCCAAATTCCACCACCTTCTGTATAGATGGCGTCATCAGCACCGCCAAGTTTTGCCAGCCAATCAGCCGCTGAGCTTCCAAAGACATAGGACTAGGGGCAGGAATGCCATCTTGGGCAATTAACTGAAAGCAGGTACAGTTGTAAATGGTGAAACCCTTTACATTCTGCAGACATTTACCAACTCATTTTTAATCAAGTCAATATTATGGTCAATTATGGACTCTACCACATAGGATCATAACACCTAATACTATTTACTTCCCTTACATGAAAACAATAAGCTGGGGTCTCCTAGGATTTGGGTACAGGAAGTCCAAAATGTGAATCTGTAATTTGGTCATTGATTTCCAAGGAGTCCAACCAAAGCAAGCTAAAAATTATGTAAGCAGTCCAGCCATCTTAGGAAATATCAGCTGCCTTTACTGGCTAATGGCCGTCCAAAGGATGGCTGGAAGGCTCTCTGGAGAAAGCCAGGGCAACAAGGCAAACTACAACTCATTACCCCAGCTACACAACTCACTCACCAAAGACACTGGTTTTTTCACTATGGCCTTGATTTTGTCATCGGTATACTGGGACTGAGCATGATGTGCCTGAGAAATGGTGAGAATGATGTCGTACAGTGCCAGCTGCTTGCTCTCTGTCGTGGGCACGGGTTCAGGTCCCACACTGTTGTCTGTAGTTGTCACCCGTTGTTCTTCTGTACTTCTGGACCTCTTAGGCACACGTCCATACCTAACTGCTGGAAGGCAGAAAGTAGTTGTACCACAATACAATAGTTTGAATACCTACACTTAGATGGAGATTTCAGGAAATTAGCAGGATGTTTGAAGAGTCACTTAGGTCCTACACCTTATTCATATAAGTTGAACCTGCTTATTCACTAGGAAAAAAAGCTCTCAAGGCAGGTTATTAAGATCTAAATTCATTCATTGCAAACAAAGAATGCTGCAAATTTTATCATAGGCAGTTTTGAGTGAAAACAAAAAATAGATGCATTAGTTATAGTATACATTTTCAGCTCTCAAAGGGAAGATACATTTTTATCATCAAGATAAAAGTTTAACTTTAATCCCCCACCCCCACTAACCAATAATCATCATCAAAATGTTAGCACTTATCGTGATTTCCCACCATCTCAGATAAATTTCTCCCCCCATCAACCCCCTCTGTGGACTGTTGAAGATCCTACCGTATTGTTTTCCTGACTTACAATCTCTACTCATCCCCACTGCAAGGCATTTCTTAAAGCGGCAGTACTGGCAGCGGTTGCGGTTTAAGCGTATGACCAGACATTTACCATCACGTAGACATCGATATTCAATTTGTTTCTGAATACTCCTTCTGAAGAAACCCTGCAAAGACACATAATTACTTTTAGATTAAATCAATCCAAGTAAAGCTGATTATATAAAACATATTATGCAGTCAAAAGGTTTCTGTTTTATTCAGACAAGCAGTGATTAAGGTCCATGCATATGTGTAGTTTTGGAAAGTGTTTTCAGCTTTCAAAGGCTGAGCTAATTAGGTCAATATACTTGCTTATATATATATATATACACACACACACACACACACACACACACACACACACACACACACAATTAAAATTAATAAATAAATAAATAAACAAAAGACATGCAATAACCCCGACTCCGAGTTTCACGGTCATACCCAGAAGGTATGCCCGATCGTCAGGAGGTTTATTTGAAAATGGTTTTATTAGCCGTTTTACATACACAGTATGACGACACTTACGTCGCACGCCGTGTTAGTTACGTCACTTTATGCCGACACATGGTAATTATCTCAGTTCTTTTATTCAGAGTATCTGGTGTTATCATTATCAACAGTTTTTCGTCTAAGCAAAGATTGCATAGGTGCTGATTTCTCCTTTGCGGCGTTGATTTCTTTATGATGTCCCATCTAATGTCATACTGGGTTTTATTTTCTGTTAATTTCCAAATGTATTTAGATAACTCAGTATCTACAGCATATTTCTTGTCTCTAAATGACTTGGTGTGATTATTGTATCTCAACTTAAATTGGCCACCACAAAGCCCTATATATTTCATGCATTTGTCCTTAGTAGTGACTGTCAGATCTCAGTGACTCTGTTCCACATTCACGCTTGTTTTATATATATATATATATATATATATATATATATATATATATATATATATATATATATATATATAGTGATCATTTTACCTCTGCGTCCCTGACGCACATTTTTTACCGTAGACGAGAGTTTTATAGCATATGCGTCCCCATGGACGCAAAGATTTTAAATTGTGTGAGATTCGTAAATAACCTGTCCATAAGCATCGCTGATCCGCATAAAATACTAGTCATTAAAGTAGGTTAATCATGTTCGTTTTCCCGTTGTTGTATTGAATGTTACAATAGCTTCCGCATCAAATAGCCAATTATATCAATCGTTAGTAATGGCAAAACTGTTCGTCTGCTTTGCACACTCCACTCTACACTTGACCTATTTTCGACTAAAATAGATTTTCCGTAGCGTATTTGTCTGCTCAGCGACCATCCGACCATGCCTCCGAAAAAAGCAATTATTAATAGACAGTAGCCAACAGACAATATAGAATATATTTAAGGTGAGACAGAGTCAAGCCGAGTTAGAGAAAACTTCTGAGACAGTAATCGCTGTGACTGCCGTTGAGGCTGAGAGTGAGAGTGACACGGATGAATGTTTGACGGAGGCAAAAACGGAGTCAAAAAGGAAAATCCGTTCCTTCAAACAACACTGGACAAAGCTCTATGCTTGGTTAAGGTATAAAAAATGAGGATGGGACTGATTTCATGTATTGTGATGCATGTACATAGGTAAATAAACGTAATGGGATGGTGAAAGATCCGCGGATAGGCCTATATGAACTGAAGTAAACTCGTCACTGTCATATCGCTTAAATAAAGAAACTTGAAAAAAAGTAAAAGTAACAAATTGTTAGTTTTGTGGTAACCTTTATTGTTCAAAATGACAGGGACCCATCACAATCGGCAGGGACCCATTGTTCAATATCATATGCGTCCTGTTGGACTCATAATATTTAAAGGTAAAATGATCACTATCTATCTATCTATCTATCTATCTATCTATCTATCTATCTATCTATATATATATATATATATATATATATATAGTTTCACCTTGAGAAATCAAGCATATTTGTACCTAATGCCTTTCCTGAAAATCTTTTTTCAGTTGTGATATCGCCAATGTAGTGTAATGCAGGAAGCTTAGAAATACCATGCCTATTAATTGTAAGGCATGCTGAGATTATGATGGAGTCAGTTTTCAAATAAATTTCCTTTATGTAATACTTATTGGCAGAGAAGCAGGGAGATCTGCTGAGATCTTTCATATGATACTGCCCTGACCCTTACTAAATAAAACAGAAATATGCACTGGTGAACCAGTCATGACGTAGCATTTTAAAACTCTAACCACAAATTACATGTTAAGGGCATAGTGAAGAGATTTTTCAGGTGCATATTTGCACTAATATCGGGACACCTGCCAAAACTAGGAATTATGTTTTTTTCCCTACTTATTTATCACTGATGTGACTCGATGTTTTTATATGACCCTAACACTTGCATTATAACCATTTTTAAAATCTGCAAAAACATCTACATTAAGGGTGACTAAGCAATTGCACACATACCAGTATTATTAAGTTGTCAGTGTTCATTTAGTCAGTTAACACAGTGTGTACTTACTTTACATCCTTCACAAGAAGTCACTCCATAGTGATACCCTGAGACTTTGTCTTCACATATATAGTCAGTTAACACAGTGTGTACTTACTTTACATCCTTCACAAGAAGTCACTCCATAGTGATACCCTGAGGCTTTGTCTCCACATACTTTGCAGGGAACAAAGGTCTGTTTTGGACTGTTTGAGTCGGCCATCATGCCGGGGTCCACTCCCACCATGTTGGGGTCGGAATTCCCTGCCTGGTCGACGAGATCCTCTTCCGCCTGGGGCTGGTTATCATCTAGAGGCTCCGACAGCTCTGGCTCTTTCATTTCTGAAACAAAAAAGGAAATAAGAAAGGGACATGAAGCATGTTTTTATACTTAAAATAAATCTAGTGAAATCTGTATCATTTATTCTGAAATCATGAATGAAATAGGGCTATCTCAAACAAGATATGGATCTTCTGGGATTCAAATTAGAATAAAACATATCATAAATTAGGAAAACAAGAAACATGTGGTATGTGTTTGAGTTCTATCCTTCTTATTAATTCTCTGCAATTAAAATGCATGTAATTATAAAAAAGATTTATTACTATTTTTGATAATTTTGTACCAAGGAGCATGTGATGTGGGCAGGGTGGGGTTCTGCTGTCTTTTGGTCTACATGACCAAAATCAGTTTTGATACAGAGTAAACTCTCGAAATGCACAAATATTGCGACAAGGAATACACCAAATTATCACTATAGATACCACTTTTAACCTTCCAAATTATAGATACCACTTCTAGCCTATTTGGCTGAAAGTAGAACCATTAAACATGATTGCTAAATGTCACAATTCTTGTTTTTTGTGGAATTTTCCTTTTTTCAAAAAGTTGCAGCTAAGTACCTGCTACAGATGCACTACAATATAAATATGGGCAATGAAATACAATATTAAACAAAGCAAGCCTTTAGTGAAGGTCATTCAACCCATCACTTCTCCAATTTCTTTAGCAGATATAGTAATACACCTGATGCTAAAATTGAGAGACAAAAAAACCTTTCTTCTCTACCAAGCATTCTTTTGTTCTACAGTCTGGGAAATGTGCAATTGCTCACTCTAGTTCTCAGGGTTTACTTAAATTATCCTTGATATGGTTGATGAGACAGTCACAAAGAAATCGTTTTTGTCTTGTTCATGAATAGACCTCACTGAGAACAACATGCTGTGGTAAGACATATCTCGCCTACTACACCACAACATGGGCAACATATAGTACTAACTCTGTATTCAGACCAGCTGTTTTCTAAAACCACTCTGTAAAATATGTACTATCAACTTATTTGATCTGTCTAGGATGTGATGTCTGTGGTGGGGTTAGGGGGGGTGGGGTTGAGGGGTGGGGATGGGGGGGGGGAGCTCTCTGCTGCAGATGGGAATGCCACAAGATTTCAAGATATCAACCACATGGTGATGGTCCAGTTTTAGGGCGCATTCCCATAGATTTTAGATAGATCTATCTCCGTGGAGAGTCTCACTAGATTACTGTCAGATAATCCATCTTAAATTTCCGTCCTGCCAACTACAAGCTGTAAGGGGGTAATTAACTATCGTGCCCGCTCGGCTGGCAGCTATTCAGCGTGAACCCCCAGGGAGTTAAGTCGATCTAGTTGGATTGATCTAATCTCTGGGAATGGGGTCTTAGTATAACCCCAACCTGAACACATCTTCAGTGATAAGAGCCCTGTCTGTCAGCTTATAAAGCCTTCAACTATGTTCTAATAAAAACCATGTGTACCGGACAAGCTCCAGCATTTTCTCAGGCAATGAAATCTGTCTGCAAGTTCAAAGGCCTCAGAAGTAGCATCGTATATCTTCAAGACCAGTATCTAGTCCGACATAATGTTTGGTGAAATTACAGGTACAATATATAATCTCATCTACTGGTCTTCATCCAGCAGAGTATCAAAAGTTGTAAAATGCACAGACATTGATTATCATTGAGAGTCCTACCCCCTTTCTGACCAATCCAAACTGGCCCATAAATATTACCTTGAATACAAGCCCTCAGAAAGTCAACTTGTAAAACTGGACTAGGGGCTAATTCCCACTCTCCAATCATAGACAATTCTTCCAATAAGGTGATACTTCCTTGGTTGTGGATTCCCCAATGAAGTGGACACAATATATGGTCTAAAGCTCTGGACCAGTTTTCGGGTCATATTTCTAATAAGAAAGCTGTCTCTGACCTATTTTCAGTGCCACCTATGATATAACCAGAGTAAATGGGTTAGAGGCGCACAGAGTACTGGTGTACTTTCAAGTGCCTGGTGTCCTGGTATTAAAATGACTCCAAATTCTATTGGTCATCTCTCTCCCTGACCAGACCACGTCACACCTGAGAAATACCTCACCTGATCTGGGGCTGGGAAGATACATATCTGGTGTTAAAGGTCATTGACCCCAAGCTAAAAGTCTAGGTATGGCTGAAACACCACATATTCTGTTAAACTTATAATAAATATCAGATGAAATATCACACCTGATGGGTGAAGAATGAACTGTGTTTAAAACCATTGTTAAGTGGCTCTTCAAGTTATCAGCTATGTTTTATTTATTTATTAATTTTTTTGAACTAATTTCAACTCAAACATAGTTCTGGGTCCAGTTACACACAATGTCTATTATCAGTAACTTAGTCAACTATCAGTTCAAGATGAAAGTATGGTAGTCAACTACAATAAAATAAGTATTGGTCTAAAACTTTAACCTTGTCTCTCTTCTCTTATTATAAAACAGGCAGAGTATTTTAATTCATTGGACTTCTATCAGTTATCCTGATTTTGATCTAAAACTTTACAATGATGGGCTTCTGGTGTAAATGTGGCAGTAGTTTGTATGGCCCTAAAATACTGATGACAAAACCATCTCTTCCATTAACTTGGTAATATTCTCAGATTTTAAAATTAGTTCTACTTTTGCTAAATGACATTTTCTGGTGATAAGGAATTTTTTTATCTATTTGCCAGGATAAAAGATAACAAACAAACAAAATACAAATGTCTATACTGACATATCAGGCAGTCTGTAGCAGACATATATCTACATGTTAGATACACATTGTAGATACCTAGAGCTGTAGTTGATGTAGGATGTCTTTTTATCACCCAAACTGCTGTCTCCTAGTATTCCCATGTGCAGTACACCACAGATCTCACTCCAAGATCAACATTACGGTCCTTACAAATCTACCTGCAGACATGGTGGAACAGAAACCATTTCCCTTACTAATACCAGAGATTATCATAGACAGCAATCTACCACAGTTCATGGACAATATCATAAAAGTACATAAATCAAGCACCTGCAGGAATGTCTCTGTTATCATGATATCCTGATGTTAGCTTTAAGCACAATTAGAGAGGAAAAAACCTGGCCCTACCAGGATCTCTGCTGAGCTTATGCTGATAAATACACTACAGGCTCATCCATGTGCTGGACTAATACAATACTGCATTCACCAGATAATGTTATCAACTTGTTACTGAGTGTTACCTTATTTTTAAGGTACATAACACAGTTGTAACTGAATGTCATTGTAAATATATATATTAACATAGTTGTTACTAAGGGTCACCTTATTGTAAATATGAATTGAATTAACTGAGATACCCCAATATAAAATTACTTGCCACAAGCAGTGTTTATGAGGCCTATGTTAACACTATGCATATTCTATCGTAATTTTTTTGGTGCAAACTGAGAACAATGGCGGCAAGCTTTGAACAGTGCACATATTGCCAAATCTCTTTTTCTACTGACATTTCCTCCACATTGTAGAAAACCAAAGCATACTTCCATCAATGAAATATGCTGACATTGCTTTTCTAAATATTGTAAATCGTGAATTGAAAAGGTGTACAAGTTAACCATTTCAATTCATAATTTTTGATCCAGAGCTGTATGAACATATTTTCAAGTGTTATTTGATAATGCATCAGGCAGTAACATCACTCCTAATCAGTTTGATCTTTTACCATATATTTCACATAGCTCTTGGCAAAAGAATATACTTGTTTATGAACAAATGGCAAATGAAACTCTACAGCAGTCTCCATTACTGAACTCCAAATGATACATTTTCCAGTTGATTCCCTGTTATCTTTACCACACATTTCCTGTTCTTACACCTTCTGTGGTCTAGAGATAAAATGATGTGTTGAAGAAGAAAGCACCTGCTTCACTTATGGTGATCACAACACAGATAATACTGGAGTCCCAGGTACCAGGCAATATGAACAGAACTTTACCGTGTGCGATAGAAGTCAGTTCTCTGATACAGTTAAAACCTACCTGTGACAATATAAGTAAAAAAAAAAACCTCTTACTACCAGATGCTTTCCTGCATAAAATGCCATGAAAAAATTCTTAGATTAAAGATGCAGAAAAAAAGCACAGCAATATAAATCACAAGATGTTCTACCAGAACTGATATTCAAATCTAATTCCTGTAACCAATGCTACTTTTTCTTTGCCTAATTAATGAGATTAGCCAAACACCACTTTATCTAGTAATCCATCATCTTGGGCAAAAGAAATGAAAATATCAGGCTTACTGGACTGATGCCTTGAAGTTGTCACTTCTGCCACAGCAGGGATACCACTGTGTGAACAGGATGCCAAGAAAGTAGGCTTTTATTTACCTCTGATAGAAAAACTTGAAAATCCAGAGACACTTGCAACTGTAACTTCACTAACAGCAATTGTCAGAAGCCTGTTATGCAAAAGAACTCTATGTAACTATCTTATAGACCAAAGAATGCCAATATCAATCTTGAGAAAAGAGTATGATTTCCTCTTAAAAGCCTTCATTACAAATAGAATGCAAACCAAATCCATTATCAGACCTTGACATGGAAAAAAATTCTCTGAAAATCATATCCTGTGCTATTCAACAGAACCACAAGAGTATTGATTTTTGTGTCACTAACAGAATATACATTACTGTGAAATTCTGAGAAAATAATAGAGCAATTTAGATCAAAAACACTATTATGAAGAGAAGAAATGCATGAACTGGCCAAAACAAAAAACCCCAAGATGTTTTATCTCTGTCTATTCTTATAGTGGAGCTTTTGTTAATTCAAAGACAACTTAAACAGGATGTGTACAATAAATGTTACCATAACATGAACAAAAATAAAATACATAGGTTTATACATAAACATATATACAATCCAGCCAACATTTCCCCAAGAGAGCATCCAGCCATCCCTTGGACAGCCAGTGATCTCAAAAGTCAGCCTTTATTTCAAGAGATGACTAATGGCTTACAAAATTTTGGGGAAATGCAAGTTGGTTTGTTGGGCTTGCCTGGTAGGACTCTCTGTAAATCGATGACCAAATTAAAGATTCACCTTTTGGACTCCCTGTAGCCCAAATCCTGAGTTAATCCCTGAATCCAACCTGTTTTCCCTCTATTTTAAGACCCCATTCCCAGAGATTAGATCGATCTACTTTAGATCGACCTAACTCCCTGGGGGTTCACGTTAAATAGCTGTCAGCCGAGTGGGTACGAATGTTAATTACCCCCTTATAGCTTGTTGTAGGCGGGACAACATTTAAGATGGATTATCTGACTCCCCGCAGGGATAGATCGATCTAAAAGCTCTGGGAATACACCCTAACTCCTAATAATTACCAACACACTGGTCAGCAGATCAGAAAGATATAGAGGAAGGTGGATAATACAGATCTTATAATAAGCCTTCCTTCTTTTCTTCAACTTCTGCTGCATTTAACCAGTGGTACACTAGTTAACAACTGTTACAGGTACCATTTGCAGACCCTATTGTACTAGCTTTGGATCGATCTATCTCCAAGGGGATTCTTGATAAATTGCAATTAACTTAAGCAGCTTAGATGTCTGTCACGCCTACTGAAGCTGCTTAAGCTGAAAGCAATTTAGAGAGAAGGTAATGTCCTCACTGAACTGTAGTGTATTGGGCAGCCAGAACACCAGTGGACCACACCAGGCAATGTCCTCACTGAACTATAGAGTACAGCCAAAACACTACTGGACCACACCAGGCAATGTCCTCACTGAACTATAGAGTACAGCCAAAACACTACTGGACTTACAGCTAAGAAAAAAATGACGCAAGCGACCTTTTAGATTCTTTGTGAAACGGGACTTAGTGACGTAAGGACTTAATTACGTTGGTAACCAAGCCCTAAGTCAGGGAAACCGACTTAAGTTTTTTTGTGAAACGGGGGCCAGGCAATGTCCTCACTGAACTATAGAGTACAGCCAAAACACTACTGGACCACACCAGGCAATGTCCTCAAGGTGCCATGACCTCAGCCTCCTTTGTATGGAACTCCTATAGCTTGAATAGGTCCAATTTAAAGTACTTCTAAAAAATCTTAATAGAATTCAGTATGAATGCAATTGGAGGTAAACACATTTGAGAGCTTTTGAATCTTTTCACAAATGCACTGAAAATGGACACAACAGAGGTCTGTATTATCATTGTAGCAGTACATCAATGATGGAGAAGCTAAACTTAATCCAAAAAATACCACCAGCACTAGAAATAGTTAACTTTGTAATATACATGTATGTAAATAGTAAAACAAGTTTTTTTTTCAGTTTTCAGTGAAAGATTGTTCTGGTGTACAGTTGAATAAATCAGCAATAAAAAACCAAGGTTAAATATAAACCTAGGTTTTGGACTTGCGATAATATTTTTTTGTGATTGTGATATATGGACTGTAAAATAGTTTAAGATATACAAATTGACTGGTTAGGATAGAAAACAAGTTTAAAGGTTTCTTAAGTTTAAAGGTTTCTCATGAACACTTTCTATTAATTATTTACCTCAATCTCCAGACAAAATACTAAAGGTATCTTGTATTTTGAGTCTGATATCTACAATCATCACATTCATAACCAGAAAAGATGACTTCATGGGTGATTTGAGACTCAGAGCGCATTCCCAGAGATTTAGATCGATCTTACTAGATTGCCCTAACTCCCTGGGGGTTCACGCTAAATTGGTGTCAGTGGAGCACGCACGGTAGTTAATTACCCCCTTATAGCTTTTAGTAGGCGGGACAGACATTTAAGCCAGCTAAGCTGAAAGTAATCTAGTGAGACTCCTCATAGGGATAGATCAATCTAAAATCTGTGAGAATGGGGTCTAAGGCTGACTTTAAATCTCAGGATGGCTTTGCGTAATGCCATTCACCCTACACAGTAAAACTTTGTTCCAAACCACTGCATACACCATATTTTGACAAATAAAAAAGACGATTAACTTTGGGTAATGAAAAGGAAAGATCAACTTCCAGTCATCCATTACTAAGACGGTAAAA